AGAGATGGACTCTGCTTCTCCAAGGCAGAACTTCACTACCCTGAGGGGAAGGCATCCTTTCTCTTCCAATACTTGTAAGAAATAAGGCAGAAGCACCACGTACAATGGCATCCTTTACTTCCCCGTCCTGAGCAGGAAGCCATCCTTAGACTAGGATAATTTTATCTGCAGAGTGAAGTATGACCCTAGCTTAAAAATACGAGGGATTCATCTGAAGTAAATCTTGCTCATAATTGCATGCGAATGAATGAATTAAGATAACGGACAAACTTCATTATGACATTTTCTAACTTTCAGCCCTTTCATTGGTGCTTCAGCTCCTTGTCACATCTGTCTTTTCTCTTGCCTTTTGCCTGTTTCTCCATATTCTACTTCCAGGGTTTTTCGTGCAGCTCGTCCCTTTGCATGTCTGTTCTTTCTGTGAAGATGCCCTATATGCACTTAGTCAGCATTCAAGGCTGTGAGGAGTTTAGACACAATGAACAAATACAGACTTCTAAGGTATATGAGCTGTTGTTGAGTATATGAAACACATAGTTTTTTAGACCTTTGAATATGGCCGAATGTGCAGTAATTTTCACAAAAGTGACAAAGGTACAATGTCTAAATACAAATGATAACTTTACAAAATATCTGATCCGAAGAGTAAGAGTGTGAGAGTATTTCAAATGAAAGATCTTATAGGTAAAACAGTACCTATTTCTAACCTTTATTATAATCCTTTCCTCTTCCACTGCTGGTTTCATAAACACTTGATATATGTTTGAATAAAAACAGGGAAAAAACCCCAAACCTAACCCCACCACTACTTCAAACCCTGAAAGACATAGCTAACATAGAAACATCACAGCACAAAATGTTAGTTTCACAAAATTACACATTTACAAACTATGAGCATGGAGTGTTTGGCTTGTGTTTATGCAGAACAGTAATTAGAACAAGCAATCCCACTGAAGTAACAAAAGGCATCATTTGGCAAATATTCTTCAGACTGGTAAGTGTCCCAAATGCTACTAGTTTTGAAAAGTCATACCCTTATTCTCTTTCATGACTACAGTTATGGAATTATTTTCATTGTGAAATAGCATTTGCATTACCATTTCTGAGAGCTCATGATGACATCAGACACAGATACGAGAAATTCTTGTCCCAAAAGTACTTAAAACATGCAGATTTGTTTAACTTATCTATGTTATTCAAAGATTACAAATTTTCTGAGCATATCCAAGGATCTTGTTGATCTGGATATTGGTATTATCGCCTTAAACAGAATAAGTATATAATTGTGTAAGAAGTCCCATTTATATTTTTAGGTTTGAAAATTAGCCCTCCACAAGTTTTTGCAGAATTATTACCAAAATAATTACTTTTGAGTTATGTTGCTACTAAACTCTAAACTCTGCTAAATATTTGAGTTCAGAAACATTGAAAAGTGATTGGCTGGTTGGTCTGGTTTCTCCATTATGAATCAAGGTTGTTCATAAACTTCCTATGTAGTTTAATTACTTATAGCAAAGATAAAGTGATGCTTTAGCAAAGGGACAACAGTGATATGCTGGAAGAGGATAATACGAATGCTTGGGCTAACAAAGCCAAACAGCAGTCCTCACTGAAGAAAACTAACCTCCTTTTTAATTTTTATAAATCGGAAATGTCATCAGATGCAAAATTTCCCTTGAAATAATAAATAAATATTCGAAATAACAGTAATGATGAAAAATGCTGAAAATATCAAACAAACAAAATAATATCAAACAAGATAACAAAAAGTACATTTTTTGTTTTCATTTTTAACTGAGCTTATTGGATAGCAACTCAGTCATGGTCTCATGCAGAGATAAGTCATCGGCTGACCAGCTTCCTGCAGGGCATGGCAGCACATACCAGTGCATGTCTGTGGGAGACCAAAGCACTCCAAACTTGTTACTGACTGGCAGCACAGTAGCTTTCATTTCTAACTTTTATTGAGCTTGGTGTCATAACCTCCATAGCCACTGTTTCGCTTGATAATTAAAACACATGCATAGACCTGGGATCTGTAAGATGGGCAGAGTAGTGAACATGCGTGGCTGTTTCTGGTTTTGAAGGAGCACTTGATCTGGAACATGTACTGAAGCAGTCATAAGACGCAGGATGAACTACACAGTTCAGCTCCAAGGCAGCATAAATGAGTCTTCCATCACTACATTTCTTTGGCATGTTTGAAAAGTCATTCCTCTGTGCATGGACATTCTGGCTGTGGCCTGGAAGAGTGTCCAGTGATGACTCCTCTGTTAGAATCATTGAAAGGGGGAATAAAGAGACAGTAAAAACCTCACATAAACCACATCTTTCATGCCATAAAGAATGACTGATACTTCTTACTTAAGTTAGGCTACCTGAAAACTCTTTCTACACCACAAAAGGCCAAGATTTCTGGCAAGGTAACTAGATATGTTCACTGCCCAGATTCATACAGCATGGTTGATGGTGTACAAGCAACACCCATCAGGGTGAAGTTGAACATCGGTAGCATGAGGTGGATTATTTCTGTTTTCTGCTTGCAATATTTAAAGGAATCATATGGCTTGTTGCAGCACATGAATAAAGGAAAAAATAACATATATATAACCATGTTTTAGGATTTTTTCATTTAAATCAATTTCCTAATAAAGACATTCTCTGTCTTGATATTTTAATAACCATATATATTATTTTGTATGTCCCTGTGAGAACAATTGAAGTTTTCATTACTTCTGTTGACTACAAGGTATTTTGGAGAATTATTCCTGTTTCTAAATTACAAACTGATAATGTAAATTTACCTTTTCTCTCCCTTTTACAGAACCAAGTACCTTGAACTAGAATAGGCAAAAAAGAGAAAAAAAAAGTGATCTATATGTGTTTTCTTCTTTCCTTCTAAAGCAGGTGATGCTGCTTAGATTCTTTTCTCCTCCTGTCTGATTTACATTTAACTTGGCTGCTGATAATACATCTCTAATTTGTAATTTCAGCTGATTGCTGATGACGTACATGGATTTGAAGTGAATCCTATAATCAGCCTTCATTTTCAGGAGTGACTTAGGATTTTGTCTGCCCATCTGAAAAGGATCTGATTTCTTTTATAGAAATTATTGAAACATTCACCACATGAAGCTGTAAAGACCCCTATAGTGTGTGTCTAATCACTGAGTCACTCCCAGTCCTTGGCTACTTCACATAATTTTCGTCCACCACCTTTAAAGACTTGTGTTTTTCTTTCATTTTTCTTTCTTTGGTTTTGATTATATCCATCATGACTCCTTTAAAGTAATTAAGACTCTGTGGTAATAGAGAATCTTTCAGGCAACATAATTGTTTTCCTATTTGGGGGATCATTTTAGTAATTTAAATTATATTTGATTTACTGTACTCATCTTTTACTCAGAATTATTGCTATGCTTAAGATACGACATCAATCAAACAGACCATTACCATGGGGAAATGCCCCCCTTATTTTCATAAATAATGATGGGAACTCTTGCAATTATAAAATAAATAAATGCTAAAATATAGACAAAAGGATTGTCCTCCAGTCAGACGGCATTAGTTTTGTGAAAGGGATCTCTGCAGCTATGTCAGATGTCTTGCATGCGTGTAATAATTTGGATGGTGCAGTAAGTAAGGTGAAAGTTGCATATTGTACCACTGTGGAACTGCTGCACTCCCATTGCCAGGAATGACAGAACCTGTCCAGTTCTTCATCGGACAGCAAAACATATTGCCCATGCGAATGAAATTCTCTTTCATTTGGTAACGCTTGTATCTTTTTTTAATCCTCGATTAGCGGTCAAGTTCAGCTATTTGGCAGCCTGAGTAATTATCAGGTGCTCTTTTCAGATTCTATTCAGTCTTTGTCTCAGCCTTGTGAAGGTATTTGGTGTTTGCTTAGTGCAACAAGCACTTTCTAGATGGCTTCTCACTACAAGCAGCACGACTTCCCTCAGTGTAGATGTTTTACAGACTGTTTTGAACAGCTAATATAGTCAAGGTTAGCCTCTTGTCTAAATAGCATTAATATACAAAGGCAGAATATAGGGAAGCAAGAAGGAAATGTTCACTGCAGGAGGAAGCATTCTTCAATATGCTGTAAACACTTTATCTGATGTACATAAATATTTATTACCGTGAGTAATCTGTAGGACATCAAAATCCCTTTTTATTTAGCTAAATATATTTTTCCATAGAAATCTATACAAATATATGTATTCTAAGCACACTCTAAATATCATCCTCTATATGTGTCTTTGAAAACAAAATGAACAGCATTTTAATATAAGATGCTAGAAGCATAGTTCTTTTGGAGCAGGCAACAGCCAGTGCAGTAGCATTACTGAGTAACTATTTTCCCCTCAGATCCTGTAAGAGGGAGAGAAAAGGGAAAAAACAGAAACAGCTTAACTCACCAAAAATCAAACCACTGCATTGCCCTCTTAGTCACTGAGTGTTTTGGGATGTAAGAAAGAAGATTACATCAGTACAATAAAGGTTCCCTGCTCTCTCCACAATCACAAGCTGTACACTATGTTAAAAAAAGCACGCAGCTTTACCCCAGATCAGAGCCAGTAGAAGTCAGAACAGGTAGAGAGGTGTAGAGCACAGGGAGAGAGAGGGAAGGGTTAAAGGCATCATCGCAGCCATTAGAGGGAAAAGTTAAAGCAATACAAGCACAGTAGGCTTCTCTTCCCACCCCCTTTTTTAGTCTGAATCTGGACTTCAAGCAACACAGCGCCTGAGACAGCTCATCTGAACCACACTGTATTGCAATACTCGCTCTTCCCAAAGAAAAAGACTCCACTGAGTAGCAGAATGCTGCCAGTGTCGCAGCTAGGGCTACAATACAGAGCCTTTTTGTAACATTTTAAAATCTCTTTCTGTTCATATATTTAGAGATACATACATATACTCATATATCAATCCTTCCTTTTTTGAGAACACCTTTGGCTTTTGTTACCCTGATGTGACTTCTTCTTCATCTTGGAATGATGGGGATCTTTCTAGCTTATGTTGGATTCATTTTCTTTTCAGTTATGTATTTTTAACAAGGACTTTCTACCCAAGGTAAGATCATTTATTGTCAAAAACCTGTGTGTGTTTTTCTATGCTAAAACAGATCCCGAACAGGATGGAGGGGAAAAAAAACGAGAAAGAAAATAAAAAGAAGGAAAGCAACCACAATGGACAGGAGCTGAGAACACCAAGTACCAGGTTTAAATTTAGGTTAAAAATTGTCTGTAAATAGGAACAGTAGTGAGAAGTTTCCACAAAGTGAGAATAAAACAGGCTTCCTTTACTTGACTGCAAAGAGGGAAAAAACAGGCACCTTGCAGAAGAGTAAAGTGGTGTTGGTGAATGGACATACATGTGTTAGGGTTGCGCACGTTTTTACGTTTTTATATTTGCATGTATGCATACAATAAACACCTACTCGTGCATGCGTAAGTAATTGCTTTCAGACAAAGTACCGAATGGCTAAATCTACTGCTTCCCTTGAAGTATTGCAGTCTGCTTTTGTGCTGCGTCCCCTTCCCTCTCCTGTTCTCCTGCAATCCGCAGACCTTTATTTCGATCCTGTGACTGTGTGTATTTCGGGGGGTGTGTGTGTCCAAAAAAAAGAAAGAAAAAAGGGAAAAAAGACAAAATTAAGTTCTTTGAAGACCTCTCCCCCGCGTCTTCTCCCCCCCACC